TGCAAGGGATTTAACCACGTGAGCGCGCGGTGTTCCACTATCAATTGAAATTTCGTGCTCCTCCTTTAGTTTCTTTAATGCTTCGAAATAACAATTGCACATAATACGCAGGAGTCAAGTTAATCACGTGAAACGAAGATACAATCACAAGCGTGCAAATAAACTGATATATGTTTAACTGTATGGAATTACAATTTCGTATATTCTCAACGACGAGTCATGCACCTGAAACCGGCAACTGGGTCACTGTCATTCCCTCGGAACGGTTTACGAAGAGGAAGTCGCGCGAATTGATAAGGTGTCTCCATCTCTCCAGTACGACGTACGACTGGTACACTAGCCACGAAGTTGACGTTACGAAGTGCTGGAAAGAACTGGCCAACCAGAAGCCAACGAAACAAGATTCCTGCTATTTCTTCCTCCTCTTGAGTCCACCGTTGCCTTGCCTTGCCTTGCCCTGCCTTCCTTTGACTTGTTCCTTTGAGTCGTCTTGCGTTGCCTTGCCTTGCTTTACTTTGCTTTGCCTTGCTTCACCTTACCTAGCCATGCTTTGCCTTGTGCTCCGCTAACGTCATCGTACATACGCGATCATCATCGTGGCTCGTCATCTAACTTTGTGCAGCATCTGACGTCATTCGACGACTCAAACAGCGTCAGCATCATACTAACGTATTATAATATAGGACATTAGATAACAGAGGGAATCATCGAAAATTATTATTTTCGAAATTATAACAAGCAGATATGTAATTATACTGTTGAACATTAACATTTATTTAAATGTGTATGAAAAATTATAACGTTTTGATAACATAAGTGCAAATTTTGTGTAAGTTATATATATTATTGCTATTTCATTGTTGACAAGTTTAATAAGTATGATAGTTTGAATCCTTAGATTCGACTTGGCTTATGGCAACTTGATTATCTTCCTTTGCTAATCAAAATATAATAGAAAGAGCTAAGTATAATTCGCATCCGTAACGTGATTGTAACGGTACATTTGATTTTACATTACTTACAATGACTTATAGACATATTGAATAAACGATAGATCGTTATATGATAATATAAAGATAAAATAGCAATTAGTTACGTAAAATTACTTTAATCTTGATTTGCGTGTTTAAAATCGAAAGAAAGAAAAAAATATTCAACCAATTGGTTTTTACTGAAATAGTGAGAATTTGGATATTTGGATATGGTTTTGGTATAAACGGGACGGCATATTATGTATGTTTTCTATATTTAATTACAAATTTGAAATTTGACGAAAGATCAGCAAAAAAAAACCTTACTTGAGGCAATAAAATAAAAGGCAATAATAAAAGGCAATAATTGCTGTGTAAGAAATCTAATGTAACACATTACAAACGTGATATATATCATTAGTGTAAAATAGTTGAATAATTCTAAACATAGAAATAAATGTTTAATAGATACATACTTAAAATTAGATTTCTAGAGATTTAGAAATGTGTAGTTAATATAATTGCAAGCTTGAGCTTCACTTATCGTGCGGTCCTTGAAAATTTCTTGGAAAAAATAGAAATGAAACGAAAGAAGAGCAAAACAATAGAAAAAACAATGTATCGAAGAAATTTGTGAACACGTATTGAAAAGTTACATATACTTACAGGATTACGTCCGGTTGTTCGGCTATCCGACTACCGGAGTACTTGTATATCGTATTAAGATATGTCAACGTCACGGTTGGTGATGGTATTCCGGTCGACGTTGGTAGCACTGCTAGGTCGGTTAACCTGGCCCAGAAACTAAGCCGGAACTATTGGAGGAATCAATGACCTTGGCACGAGTAACACCGGGATATGCGAGGAAGAAAGTCCATTCACATTTGTTGTGCCACGAAGCGGAATCAAAAATTTCACGCTCCCAAGTATAACTTTATTCGTAAAAGGAATGGAACAGTATGAAAGTGGAGATTTCGAATTGTGACGAAGTTTTAAATATACGTCGAAGAATGTTGCAGCATATTTCTTATTTACTTCAATCTTATGTATTACTTTGTTAATTAGATTTCTTAAAATGAAATAATTTAAAGTGAAACATTTTAATTTGTACGTTTCATGTGCTAGTAATTAATATAGTAGGATATCTTGTTTAATTTTCTAAAATATGATATACTTTGAAAATTAAGTCATTTAGATGCTCTATACACACACACACGCGCGCGC